ATATATATATATATATATATATATATATATATGGGTACGAAAACCAAATACTATAATAAACTATATAAGTATAATTTATGAATCTTTAATATTTTTGTAATATGTTGAGCAAAGTGTATAATTATATAAAATACATATATAATTATTTTATATTATTTTATTATCATGGAAAAGTGATAATACACATACAAAGGTGCTCATTACAAAAATATGTAAAGTCGTTGAATCAATTTTGCGAGTCAAAATCTTCATCGTACCTATCAGTGATAATAACTAGAGTCTTCCGTAAGAGAGTGTGATACATGTGTGTAGATATATATACGGGACTGACAATCCCGCACCCTAACTGTTAGCTACAGTTAGACCGGCAGGTCTTGAGTGATAAATGTCATAACATTCTGATGCCTGAAGAACGTCGCGACATACCATCTATCTCATTAGCACGGTTATAATAACTCACATAGGGAAACAACGATACATTTAGTTTATGGGGAAACATTCATTCAAACGGTTTTTATAAATTAAAATTGCATATTACTATTTGAAGTATGGAAAATACTTGTACATTTCGGTCTTAGGGTTCTAAGACTACAACTCATTTTTAAGGAAAATATTGGATTTTCTGGAACGAATACTATCATTTACTCATTCTTAAGGAAAATATTAGATTTTCCGGAATGAATACTATCATTTTATAAGGAAATGCTTACAACTCTTCATACAAACTCTTATAAACTAACAAACTTAATCGTTGACACTTTTTCAAGCCACTTGTATTATCAGGAAATCACTAAAACAGGTAAAAACAAGCTTTTGAGGATGGGACGCTAAGGCGCCAGACAAATTTTTTTATCATCATATTGTAATTGATTTTGAAACACGTAATTCTTACAACAATGTAACTTTTTCAATTATATTTATGATGATTGTGTTTGCTTTGGTCATTATTATGCATTATGTTATAATACAATACATGAAAGTCATCCACCCTCGGACGTTTCCGGCATCATGGTTTGGGGGTGTGACAATTGGGGTGTCCAAGCCCCCAACTTTATGAATATATAAGCTCAAAATGATCATAAATGTCTCAAAACGATTTAGAACAACCCAAGTCTCAAAAGTCCAAATCTTGGGACCAAAAACACAACATAACATGGTCCAAATCTTGATCTAGAAAAATGAGCATAAATGTACAAGTTTTATACCTCCACAAACTTGAAGGATGATGGAAGTTCTGGATCTAAGAGCTTGAGCTTCTTCAAGCTTCAATGGTAGACTTCTTCTTCTTCCAAAAGCATTAAAAAACCCATAAAATCACTCAAAAGTCTCAAACTTTGCTAAAGGGGGCTAGAGTTTCGAATATCAACTTTGGGGTGAAAGGAGGTTGAGAATGAAGAGGATATAAGGGGTCATAAGGTGTTTAAATAGGGTTAAAACCCCATAATTAGGGTTTAAAGTTTTCATGAGTACGTCCAATGTACCTCCATGTACGCCTAACGTACTAGCCATAGTCCATATCCAAAAAAAGAGAGTTATGTGTAGCTCCCACGTACACCATGCATATAGACTAAAATGCAAACTTTTAGGATTTTTAAACTTAAAATGACGAGTACCTGAAATTGAATGTTACAATTATACAAAAAGGTACATGAAAGTGTAATATATCATTTTTTTTTTCAAATTATATGGAAGCATTTATTACTTGTAAAAGACCTAATTAGAAAATGGTAGTCACTGCTAGATATTTTTTGTGACTTTCAGTTAAAACAGTGAGTTATGTTGTTTAAGAACAAAAACAAAACAGAAGAATTAGTTTTACCATATAAAAGGCTTAACGGCGCAAATTGTTGCTCGTTTGTCATCTCACTCGTTATACGATGATAATTAATCTCTTTATGATCCAGATGAAAATTCCAAAAAGAAAAGCTAGCTTGCATTCAGTTAAACATATCATTAGTATAGGTTGTGACTACACTCGCTGATGTTACTCAAATATTTTTTATATGTGTGGATTATAATTTTTACATTACATTAATAATAGTATCTTGATATTTTTGTTATTTGGGTGTGTAATCTGATTATTCCTAGATTTCAAAACTTCCACAAATAATGGAATGTAATTGAAATTTTTTTAATTTAATTTATCAAGACTAGGTTAAGAAAATATAACATTAGTCGGTTTCTTACATATCTCATAATTAAACGGTTTATACGGGAGATAATTTGTACACAACAATTTTTCTTCATACAAAACAGTTGGTGTTTTAAAATGTTGTACTGTACAACTCTATAATACATAAATTGTTGTGTATGACAAAAAATTATTGTGTACAAATCACTTCCTGCAACACTCGTGGTTCGGAGAATTGAAATCGAGGAAGACTGTATTTTGTATCTCTTATATTCTGTACAATTCCATAAACACACAAGAGATACAAAATACAATCTTTCTCGACTGTCGGGCCGTTACACCGTTGCTAAGGGCCCGAAACCTCATCACTTGACCTTCATTGACAAGATGGAGCCACCCTAGAGCGCAGACACATAAGCTAGACTCTGAATCCTCCAATTGATGCTTTTGATATACAAATTTCTTAACCCCCCTCCACTCAGGATACAGACCTTACACAGACCCATTCACGATTCCCAACACGAGTTCCCATCAAAAAGCTTGCTCGAAAATGGCTACCCATGATACCTTCTCACGGAAATTTCCCTAAAACTGATGAATATCCATTTGAATCTACCCCCAATCCCTAACTACGGCATTACCAGTACCATGGAGAATGATCCTCGAAACACACCAACCGCGAACTTAACCTAAAACCGAACCATATGTTGAACCCAAAATCTTAACAACCCTTGATTCCTTGCTATGTCATTACCAACCATTCCTTTGACGAGCAAAGACGATCAAACCATGAACTTATGTGATACATCAAACCCTTACCGGCTCCGGTGCACCCCACCTGAGCATTCACTCGATACAATCACCAAGAACTTGATTACTTACGATTGCATAAGAAATTTCCAACTTGAGAATCACAAATCTAACAAAAGGACGTGAGCCGTGGGGTTAATATATTATAGATTTAATACAAAGGATTTCAAATGTTTTAAATAAAATTAAAAAAATGATTTAGAAGGTTAATAAATTATATTTTGATAATTTTTTATAAGATTGTTGAATGTATTAAATATTATTATTGCTACGAGCCAAATGACAATATAATAATTGAAAATATTTACAAATTTTATAATTAATAAAATAAAAAATTAATTAAATACAAACAAAATAAAAAAATGATTTAGAAGGGTAATAAATTATATTTTGATAATTTTTTATACCATTGACAATCACACTTGTTAAATGTATTAAAAATTATTATTGCTATGAGCCAAATGACAATATAATATTTAAACATATTTAATAAATTTTATAATTAATAATATAAAAAAAATAATTAAATATAAACTAAATAAAAAATTCATTCCCAAAATTTATTTTTTCCGACCACTATAAAACTTTTCCCCTCAACTATTGCTTTGTAGTTTGTATATATATTTCTTTAAACTATTTAATAAATATTTTTGAAACTATTCTGTAAAAAAAAAAAAAAAAAAAAAAACACACACACAATTTTATCAAAAACTCAGACGTTGAGTGCCTCCTCGCCTTACGAATCAGTTGGTTGGTGGGCAGTGGCAGTGTGTTGACTCTTGAAAGCAGAAACCGCTCAAAATATCATAAATTTATTTGATTTTGTTTGGTTCTAACCCTAGTTTGTGTATGCGCAAGAGCGAAGAACAATGAATCCTCTTATTTGGCACAAAGTTGCTGCAGTCTCCGGTAAGTTTGTTGGTGTTCGCGTCAAACCGAAACCCTTGTTCAAAATCCATGATCTAATTGAATCTTGGTCGAATTGGTGCTTATCGAAATCGCAATTTTGATTTTTTCTGAAAAAACAGGAATGGCAGCTCTTGGATTAGGCACCTATGGTGCCCATGGCTTCAAACCAAACAACCCTTCTTACAAAGAGGTTTTTGCTTCGATTGATCGTTTAGTTTGTATGATCTGAAAGGAAAGAAGGAAAATCTAGATTGATTCTAACTATTTTATTGTATGATTGTGGAAAACCACAGGTTTGGAACACAGCATCTCTTTACCATTTAGCTCATACAGCTGCATTGATTGGTGCTCCTATAACTAAAAACCCCAATATAGTAAGTTCTCTCTTCTACTTCTTGCTTCTTTCTGTTTATAACATGTTTAGATGTGCGCTGTTTTGAAAGTGATTATCTATTGTCATCTGTTTTACATTTATCTTGATGATAATTAGAATCATAATCACTTTTGCTGAAAGTAATCAATTCTCATCTGTTTCAGAATCTAAATCCATTCTTTCTTTTGTTCTTGTGCGTTGTAGTTTGGAGGGCTTTTGACTACTGGAATTGTTGCCTTCTCAGGGACGTAAGTTGTCATTATCTAAATTCATTACATATAACTATGAAAACAGTTGATAATTGGTAAACACGATAAGCCTATATTGGTAGAACAGTTATTCATTTTTGAAGTGTTGGAATGTGATATAATTGATTAGATTTTAATCTTTGCAGGTGTTATATGGTGGCGTTTCTTGAAGACAGAACATATGCTCGATTAGCCCCATTTGGTGGATTTGCATTTATTGCTGCCTGGGCAAGCTTGCTGTTCTAGAATTACCTTCCTACCCCTGAGACCCTGAAGTTGAATCAAGCTAGAAATAATCCCCATATAGATTTCAATGGGGGTATTAAAGGGATGTTTTTTTACATGTATTTTCGACTAAAAAACTATGTTGCTTTTATGATCCCATGCCTTAGCAATTTGTAAAAGTATGCTGAAGAACCAGTAACATTCCAACACACACACACACACACACACATATATATATATATATATATATATATATATATATATATATATATATATATATATATATATATATATATATATATTAAAAAGGATTCTTTTCAAGACAAATGAATCAAGAAAGTGAAAGTAAACATTCGTTTGTGATCTGTCTTCTTATAATTTGTGATGTGTCTTTTTATAATTTGTTACCCATTGCATCAAGGAGTGTAATCATAGTGGCATGAACCATAACCTGTGGGAATAATTCAATGAAAACTAATTATTAACACAGCTTGTAAAGACAAAAGCATGCATGTGAATTCAAGGGATCTGTTTTCATGCTTTAAAAGATAAAAAAGAATGTTTTCATGCTTTAAAAGATAAAAAAGAAAGCCAAAAAGGATGGAGGAAAAGAAAAGGAAAATGGAATTAGAATATGGTTTAAAGATTAGGTTGCTATAAAAGAACATGTGTAACCTTTTTTAAATTGATACACAATTCCACAAAAAAAAGGAAGATTAAACTAAACTTAAAATCCTTAACACCTACAAATACTTTTTCTTTCCTTAATCACATGGGTTAGCAAAGGGTTAAAAGTTGAAACCCTAATGTTTGATATAATATATGAGTAATCAACTTTGAATCCACACATAGTCACTATTGTTTTAATTGTACATCCTAGCTCCTTAGTTCAAGTTAGGGACTCTTTGATATGTTTTTGTGTCTCATTCGATCAGATTCAGACTGTTTGATAACACAGGTCTACAATTAGTTATGTCTTTGTGTCTCATTCAATTAGATTCGGACTGTTTGATAACACAGGTCTACAATTAGTCATTTAGTTGGTCAGACTCGGTCCTATAGTCTGTGATATGTGTTTTACTGGTCCGGTTAAAGACCAAGTCTGACTCAATCAGCAACTATCAATCAACCATTTACCGATCAAAATATGCAATTTTTACCCTTTTTTGTACCTTATACTCAAAACTTATTAAAATATACATTTTTTTAATCCAGAAATAACCATAACCCTAAATTATATATAAGAATCATGAAGAAATGCTTACTGGGATCTTTTTCGGTTGTCATTGCAGCACTATGAAAGTAGCAAGAAGCTCCATTATGTTTAAATTTTTGATAATAAGCATTGAATGCAAATGAAGCATGATCTTTTAGTGTGTTTGGTAAATAACAAGATTGGTTTTCTTGAATCTTGCTACAATCTGCACCACCTTCCCCACATGTGTAATCCAATGCTGCCTGTAATTCTGCATCTGTTGCTTGACTATCTGATATGCACCATTGCTCAAAATCTCCTTCTATACATTTTCATTACCCAAAATGCAACATACACATAAAAACAAAGTTTCATTAGTAAAATGCAAACTCTTTAATTGTTTATACAATAAAACTATGGATATGGTTCAGTGGGGTCAGTGATGTGTATATATAAAAAAATGTATATATGTATGTAGGGATAGCATGACACTGGATTGAAATGCACATGGGTATTGTGGAAGATGGAATAAGAAACTGAAAATGGCAGTTTTGAGATTGATGTTAATAATTTATTATTATATGTTTATATATGTACATGTATATTTATCAATTTATGTATATAAAACCAAAAAAAATCAAGAAATGTATCAAGATTGACAAGTGATCAATTAGATTACTTACTAGATCTTTGTGGAAGCATAACCACAAGAAGCATCAATGGAAGCAACATCTTCAGAACAAAAGGTGACATTTTTAGAGAGAGAAAATGGTAGAGAGAGAGAGAGAAGGGAAATGGGAAGAAACAGATGGGGTTTATATATATGACAAGGAAGTGAGCTTTTACAGATCAAGATCCAAATATGGCTGTTGTTTGTGTTGGATCATGTGGAAGGTGTCCCAATTCGACTACAATGTGTTACATATCCCACATGGGAAGGTTTCACATTGGTGTCATGAACTTTGAATCTGCACCAATCGTTTTAATCAGTAAACTGTAAATCTTATTTTCAAAAAAGTACGTATATGAAATTGGGTTGATATATAGTATAACTTTTAATGCATAAAGTACAAATCACTATATATATATATATATATATATATATATATATATATATATATATATATATAATATATATATATATATATATATATATATATATATATATATATATATATATATATATATGGAGTCCTCTTCATATTGTTGCTTTGTTAGCGAATCCGATCACGTTTACACCATCCTAACGGATCTTGATTTTGTGCCAATCTGGAGTCCTGGAAAGTGGAAATCATTATAGTCGCGTAATTCAAGATTTTCTAAGACTAAATTCCACTTTGGTGTTTTCTTTTGATTTTAAATGTCAAATTTATGTTATCATAGCTTTATGTTATTGTTATTTACCATATTATAAATATGACATTAATAGTTTAATAGTGTATGTATTTATAATTTTGCATATCTTTAACATAATTAATCATTTTTTCTTAATAATACAAAAATATTTACATTTCTCTTTTAAAATTGAAATTAGCATGTTTGACCCTTAAAGTCAAAAGTAGAAAACTTTTGAAACAAAAGGCAGATCAAAAGTCGTATTGTTACTAACCCACTTTCATCTCTCTTTCTTTTTATATATTTATATTTATATTTCTTTATATATATAATATATAAATAAAGATAAAATGGTCATTATCTTCTTGGCCTGAAATTTTTGTCTCAACACCCGTTTTTGATGGAGAAAAGGTGGACTTTTGCCACAGATGCTTACAAATTATTATTCAAGGATGGACCCCATTAAGTTAAGTTGTATACAAACTATACGAAAATGGTGAAATTTTTATATTATATGCCACAACGTACAAGTATGTAAAGCGTTGTTACCATCAAAATTCAACCACCTACAGCTATATTATTTTCATTGTGGTTTCCGTCTCTCAGTATTCCAAAAGCATCTTTCTTCTCATCTTCTGCTTATTTCCTCCAGTTTCTTGAATCTCCCTCTCCCTCTTCATCTTCTCTCATTTCTTTGTTTCGGGTGCATGGGTTCGAGTTTTCAAGATGAACCCAGAAACAAGAAACCGAAGCTTGTTGATGAAGAAGAGAAGACGGGGATCTTGATCAAGAACCACCCTTCTGGGTTCGAGATTTTACCAAGAGATTTGCTTCTCGATGTTCTTACCAGGTTGCCGATATCCTCACTGATGCAATTCCGGTTCGTAAGCCGGTCATGCCACGCCTTGTCTCACGATCCTGAACTGCCGCGCCTCCACCACCCCACGGCGGCGAAATCAGACCCCATCCTGGTGTTCCACTGCGATTATCCGATCCGTAACCAGCTCTATTTTGTCGGCTACAATGGTGACCACGGTGGTGATAAGATTGTACGTAAGATATCCACTCCCTTTTGTCGTTCCATGCCGGAATTCAACGTCGTGGGCTCTTGCAATGGCTTATTGTGTTTGTCCGATTCACTTTATGGCGACCCGGTCTACGTGTTCAACCCGTTCACCAGAAACCACATCGAGCTACCAAAATCCAAACAGTTTCAAGACCAAGAAGTAGTATTCGGATTCGGGTTTCACCCTCTTACAAACGAGTACAAGGTTGTTAGGATCGTATACTACAGAACCCCACGTAAGTTAACTCGAAACAACAGGAGTTACCCTAAATCCGAGGTTCACGTCTTGACCATTGGCCAACCGGATTCCAACACGTGGAGATGCTTAGGGAAAGTACCTTATCAGCTAGACAGGCAAGCTAAAGAAGTGGTAGCGGTTAACGGGCGGCTCCATTTTGTGAGCCGCCCGGGCCGCCTAGGTGGGCTTCCAGGTCGAACGATTGTTTCGTTCGACCTGAAAGACGAGCAGTTCAAGCTCGTCTCGAAGCCTGTCAACCGGAGCAACTACCACCTGGCGGTGATCGAAGGGTGTCTGGCGGCGGCAGTGTCGTGTGGATACGGGAAGTTGGAGATTTGGGTGATGAAGGAATACGATGTGAAAGAGTCGTGGGTGAAGCAATTTGATATCCATGGGGCGTATCTTGCGAAATTCCCGAGTCATAGTCATGATTATGGGATATGGCGTAAAGCAATGCATGAGAAAATGGTTAGGGTTTTGTGTGTGTTGAAGAATGGTGAGATTTTGATGGAGTATAGAGGTGGGAGTTTGGTGAAGTATGATCCAAAATGGAAGGAGTTTAAAGATGTCGTGTTTCATGGGATGCCTAAGTTGTTTCAAACAATTGTACATGTAGGTAGCCTTAATTGGACTCATACACCAATCCATAATTGATATATATAAATCATTTGAAACTTGCTTAAAATAACAAACATTTATGTAATTATGTATACAACAAATAAAGAGTTTTCTTTATTATTATTATTATTATCATTATCATTATTACTACATATGGTTCGTTACAAACATTTTACAAACAACCCATATCGGGTTTTAACTTTTTATACACCAGAAAGTTAGATTTCCCGAGTCTTCTGTCAGCAGGTGAATGAAGTCTCTCGTATGCATATGCCACGCTCACAATCAACTGAAAATTTTAAAGAAAAAGAGCTTTTAAACCTCAAATTATCATAACATGTTCTAAATAAAAACTGATCCAAGATTGTTTATACCCATAAACAAAAAGAATGATTAGATAAAGAAAGTAAGAAACTTTTTTCAAAAATCAATGATCTTGGAAGTGTTACCATGGCAAGAACAGCGACTTATATAATAATATGATGCAAGCTTCAATTGCAATGCTGCTGGTTTTGCCATCTAACCAGACTGTTAAGTTCTTAACCAAGGTTAGAGGTCAGCCTGGTGCAACCCACTATGGTGGAACTGGACCATGGTTAGGATGTTAACCAGGGTTAACATACATCAATGAGTGGAAGTGGGACCCACTAAACCATTCAGATTTAAAGACAATCAACCAGACTCAAAAAAGCTAGCTGCAGCTGAATAGAGCTGTTCTTCCTCAAATGGCTTTGCTACATAACCATCCATTCCACATTTCATGCATTCTTCATCACTAGCCTGGATGACGTCAGCAGTCATTGCTAAAATAGGAGTATGCCAATAAGCTTCACCAGATTTTATTCCTTCATTAAACTTGCTCTCCATGCTGCGAATCTGCCTGGTAGCTTCAAACCTATTATAAAGAAACATTGTAATTAAAGGGTATTTTAGACATTTGAGTATACGATTACAAAAAAAAAAGATAAAGAGTTTGTTAATTTTTACCCGTCCATTTCGGGCATTT